AGCATCCAAATGAACAATGCTAACTTCTTGTTAGCATTGGAGCTGCTTGTGAGCTCCAATTGCAATTTCCTTCAAACGGTCAGAGCGTGCGTATGTGCCCTCTTGCATCTGTTCTAGTGTCTACATAAAGGTTGAATTTATGCTGTCATCTTTCCTTTGATCAAACAGCTTCCACTGCCTGCCTTCCTTCTAGTTGCCTAGTTCTATGAAGCTTGTAGTAACTTAATTATTTTTGAGACATCCCCTCCCCCTACTCCATTTGACAGAAATGATTGAAGTCTGCCAACAGATTCAAAAGTAATTAGGGAAGAACACACACAGGCAGTAAGATTACCCCAGACACCTTTCCTTTGGAAATCAGGCTAAAAATCACAGTATTTATTAAAACAGTTCCATCCCCTAAAGTCAGATTTGTGATCGCTGAACCTCTGTTATTGGCAATACTGCAGATTTTAAAAATAATTTTTGGAGGACTATATACGGTTTCTACAACTCAGACTGATTCACCCCTTCTGGCTGCATGCCAGCCATTTAAGAACAGTTTTCCCATCTGTTAAATGGGAATAGTAAGTGCTTACCTGCCTCAATCATGTGAGGCACGCAGACGTTTGCTGTCTGCGTGCAAACGCAAACACTGGTTTGAAGATCTTCAGCATTGCACTATATTAATAAAAATTATAATAAAAATTGCTGTAGTTTAGTGCATACCTATATTAGTCTTTCTCAGTGGCTGCATCCTTTTAAAAATAGAAATATAGAGGTCTAATGGTTAGGTATATTTAGGTGTGTTACAGAAGGAATGCATTTATTTAGAAAAACCTTTAACCAAGTTAGATTTCAGTGGCAGTTTAACTCTTAATACTTACTAAAGGGCATATTTTCTTGAACAGCTCCATTGCTTTTAAGAGGAATATCTGACAAAGAAATAATGGACTGGAAAAAGTTCTAACTAAGCAGGGCTTCCTCAGGCATTTCCTTCTCAGTGGGTGCTCACTGGATAAAAATATTATTTCCTTACTCCTTGAATACACATTAGTCGTTCTACCCCATACTGAAACATCTCAAGAAAACTCTGCCAATACTTCTACGCATCCAGAACCATTCATCTTTCTGCTCTGTGGTGAGCTTTTGTGAAGATGCTAAGGTGCTCACACATACTGCTCATCTACCTGCAACACAAGTGAAACTACCATATTACTGCTGGCCTCACTGGTGGTCAGGAAGGGAGTGGGTGGTATAAATGATAATTTTCTTCTTGCTGCCCTTAGGCTTACCTGGAGGGCATGTACATGTCATACAAGCAGAAGTAGACGAGGTTGTGGAAAATGAGCATAAACTCCAGCCTTCAAAAGGTCTAGGCAGTAAGAGATCAGTCGTCATCATACCGTACACAGTGGAGCACGTATCTAGTTTTCAAAACTCATCCTTAGGTAACGTCTCAGCTTGGGACTGAAAAACAGCAACTGGTGCTGCTCCTAACCCCAGTGTTAGCATGACAAGACCTACCTCAGCCTATGCCGTCCTTCCCACTGCTGAGCGAGGAGACCCCAGCTGGGGAAGGACAAGGGAGCAGCCGCGCAGGGAGAGGAAAGGCCGAGGGCTGGGAAGGAGGCAGGCAGACTGGGGGAGCGGGGAAGGCCCACCAGAGCCGGTCCTGAGACGGGCCCTGTGGCCTGCCTCGGACCCACAGAGCCAGCCCAACCCAACAGAAGGTGCTTGCTGGGGACTCCAAGTAGGTGCTACAAGATAGCGCTGCACGCGGGAGTCACCAAAAAAACACTCACAAAAACACTTACGGGGAGGCAGCTTTTGAGCACAAAACTGCCCTGGGGATGGCCAACACGGCGCGCGCCACCGCTTTTTGGCCAAAAGCACCCCTAAGGATTCAAACCACGTCACCCTCAAACATGACCCAAAGCTAGGAGAACTTCAGATCCGCTCTCCGAACGAACAACGGCTCGGCGGCACCCGCATAAGAGGCAACAGCCGCCTGCCCA